AAGTTTAATTTTTCCAGCTTCTTCCACGTGTGAGAGAGCATTCTGAAAATTCGTTTTTGACAACGACTTGCCTCTGATCAATATGGGGAAATTGTTCGAGTTTTTCTGCTTATTTTACTTTCTGCTCAACAAAACGAGTCTACACTTTCTTTCGTGTAGACTTGAATTTCCGTGATTTTTCGGTCTAGTGACATAACACCCACGATGCAAAAACAGCATTTCAACACTTTCGACGCAAAAAGTTCTCCAAAAGCCACTGAATTCGCTTGAAGCCTTTGAACCATTTATGACGAGGATGCTATAACTGCTAGGAGTAATAGATATCAGTTTAGCAAGATTTAGAACGGCAATTCCTTCCACAATATGTACCAATCCAGGTGACCTTTTGGTTAGGTCGGCATGGTCGCGCACACTAGAAAATGTTCTAGAACAGAAAAGCGGTGATCGAAACATTATGTAGCCTGAAGAATAAGCCCTCGTAAGGATATTCAATCCACAACAGCCGAAGCGCTTCCAAGTCTGCTAGGCAACATAGGATCTTGTGCTACCTTTTCTACTTCAGGCTGCTGAGGAAGGTGCTTTGCACCGAATATTTCAAGAAAGATTGCAAGCACTTTCGGGATTCCTTCGACATCTTTAGAGAATCTTGCAATAAATGTTGACGCCTCTCTATATTTTTTTTCAAAATATGCACATATTTCATGAAGATGTTAGATCGGCAGCTTGATCCCGAAGCCTATATCTTGATTAGATCAGATTAGAAGTCCATCAGAATGGACGATAGCCCCAATAACAGAACGTTCTTTGCCTTCGACGCTACCGAGGATGACCTTTTTTGTTGTGTCCGCTTCATTCCATCCAAAGCTGATAGTTCTTCTTTCTTTTCACGTGATTTTTCGAACAATGGGAAGTTTCCCCTTCTTATTCGATAGTGCAAACGTTATCCATAATCAGGAGTCCTTAGCGTATCCGCTATCGCTGCGTCAAAGCGTGATTGTCATAGCAGCCTGCGGACTAAAAACGAAAGGTAGTGGACACTACGAAAGCGATAGCATCTAAATGAGATGTCCCGAAAGTGAAAAGGAGGCGAACATGGACCTAAACAACAAGACAATTATGGAATTGGAGAGGTTCGAGTTCGCGGTCGAGTACCCATTCGGGCCCGTTCGCGACCTCTGGAGTAGTGAATCAACTCCTTGACTTCTCCTTGATTGTCGGGGCGAATACCGTTCCATTGCCTTCGTCTCTACGCAGCTGTTGCGCGTACTCTCTTTCGCTTTCAAATGAATTTCAGTCTTTTCCACTTTACGCAGGTATCCCCGCGCTCCACTCTATTAAAGTGAAATCAGATTGAGTAAACCAAGTGCAAATGTCTATGAAGGGGTAGACGGAGCTGTAGGGACAGGGTACAGCATCGTTGTGTGAAACAAATGGGGGAGTCGTACATGGCGGGGGTCGTAACTTTTCGTTATTAGGAGAGGGGGCTGTATGTGCCTTTGAAGAAATTCGCCGCTCGGGAAATAATTTTTACCGGTTGTTGACTTTTCGCAGCTTTCCCCGTTCCGCATGTGCTGTTCATCCCCCCCACCCCTCCCGCTCGACGGAAGTTTTCGGGCGAAAAACCGGTAGGAAGCTGGGAACTTTGGTAGGAAA